TTCAACTGAGCGAGTTATCATACTAGTGATTCGTATGTTGTTTGTGGAAGGATTACTGCTTATTCCGGATAATATCCACCCAAACTCGGTGTCCTGGGCAATAATACCGCTTTCTATTTTGTGTAGGCCTTGCAACAATATTCTGCTATATTCTTGAGCGCCCAATATTATGTCTATTGGACCTCGTTTGTAATAAGTCGGATCTGCAATTAAAGTGTTTACTAAGCACTCCGCTTGTATTGGTTGTATAGTTTTATTTGGTAATGAACCCGTTAACTTTGGTAAGATAATGAGTTTTACGGGTAACTTAAATTCGCTTGGAAATCTCGGTTGTAAGTTCACTTCAATACTGTAGTTTGAAGTCTTCGGTGTCTCGTCACCGATACCTACTACCTCACATTTTATTTTTCTGCGAGGGTAGGATAGTAATTGGGCTACTTCTTCTGTGCAGAATGAAGCCTGGGAACCTTGATCACACAGCACTCTTAGTAGGTGTGACGTACCATCTTTGGTGTATGTATGCACAAGGGCCGTCGCTAAAAGCGTTGTATCCTGTGTGTCCGGTCCTGTTGTGGACGACATGTTTGACTTGGTTTTTGTCCAAGTTGTACTTGTAGTAGGGTTTTCAATGGTTTTCCGATCCTTTGACCCTTTATTGTTGTCATCTTTAGTGACGTAATTGTTGACATTACCCTTCTTTTGAATGTCAAGGTGTAATAATGAATGGTGACCTAGTTTGCCACAATGTTTACACTTTCCATTACTATGACATTGAACGGATGAGTCATGTATTATGCACTGTTTGCATTTTCGATTCTCCTTCACTTTATTGTTACGCTGTTCTGCTGACAATGCTTTAAATTGTGCGCACATGTATATGTTATGATTGTAACTATTACATAGCCAGCACTTGTAGCTATTTATAGATTTAGGAATATAATGTTGTTTATAATCGGATTTTCCTTCACAGATGGTATTTTCGAGACACATAAACCGTTTTTCCAGAAATGACATCATTGATGAAAATGTTTGAGGTTTGTTCGGCGTTACGAGTTGTTGTTCGTATTTTTCGTCAGTTTCCGAATCCCAAATACGACTCAGTATTCTTGTTAACATAGGATCCCATGACGAGATATCAATTTTCTGATTTTTAATCGCCTCTAGGTTCTCCTTAATTGTATCATGCAGAAACTTCAAACTATTCGCAGAGCCCACCTTCAGTTTTTGTATGTTGAGAATGTTGTCAATGTGCTTAGTGATAATCATTCTCTCGTTTTCGTAGCGATTCTTAAGCAATGTCCACGCAGTCGCATAGTTAGATTCGCAAACTGTCAAATGCCTAATGAGTCTGGCTGCATCACCTTTCACGTGCGTCTTTAAATACTGCATCTTTTCTGTATCTGTGAGTGAGTTATCTTCATGAATGATTTTTAAAAATAAGTCATAGAACGAGCTCCACGACTCATAACTTCCCATAAACATTGGAATGACTATTCTTGGTAGTTTCACGGATGGTTTGTGATCAGTTTGATGTTGTTGTAGCTTTTCATATAGTCGTTCAATTATGTTATCGTAGTCTGATTTCAGTTTTTCAAACACTTCATCCTGAAAATAACTATGTTCTAAGATGTTTTCTTCCTCACAGATATTGAAGTGGCCTTCTTCAACTTTATCACACTGTTTTTGCAAGGCTTCTAGCAATGTTTTATAGTGATAGCTGGATCTGTCGTCTTCAATCGCCAAGGCTGCTTTCTCGAGGTTTTGACGCAACTGATTGATGCGGTACAATTGCAAATTCATTTTTGCTGAATTGTTACTGTTGGTTCTGGCTTCTTCTGGGTCCCGAACACAAGGTTGCTGACAAATTGAAAGTTTTGCCTCACATTGTTCCAAATAATCCATAGCATCTTTATACAGCTCTTTGATGATCCCGAAGTAATTAGACTTCATATAGGTATGTTCTTCTAAGATCTCCTGGTCTTCAATTAGTGAATGGTTTGCCGATGCTTTGGTGAAGACTTCTGTGAGTCGCGATCTTCTTTCTGCGATGTACTTCTCTGTTTTTCTTGATGTCGAATCCTTTTTGATGTTGTTGAATATGCGTCCGATTTCTTTGTAGTGGCTCTCCTGACTTTTCACAATTTCGTTGATTTGTTGTATTTCCATCTTGCTGCCCTATCCTATCCTAACCAACCTAACAATGATATAAGGGGGTAGAACAATTACACTTAGTTGCGATCTATATCCTCGTTACGGTATGTGCGACTTCTCGAGCACCGGGGCGACCCTGTTCAGGGAGACCGATACCTGATCCGCTACCGAACGACGCAAACTAAGTTAGTCAGTCACTTGATATACAACGAAACAAGCGCTAGGTTTATGCGCAAGTCTGCTGTATACCAATTGTCTGTCAGTCAATTAGTCAATTTAAGGGACAAGATGATTCTCTACCGATGACTCGAAGGACCAAAATGTACAGCGTGATAATAGCCTTACGCTAAGATCGCGCTGTACAGGACTAAATACCTAATCCTAAGTACTACTAGCTAACGTTATCCTACACTATCCTAGATAATCTAACACTTACAATATCCTATCCTAGATCCCCTAAGCCCAATAACCTATGTAGTCTAAGTTCTATCCTATATTTGCCTAGCGTACAATGCGTATAGGCTTGGTACTCTGTGGTATACTGTGATACAGACCAGCACTTCTACGCACCTACTACCAAGCCCTTAACCTAAGGCACGTACTATAGTGGTACACTGTGGTATGCTGTGATACAGACCTACTCTTCGTACGCGCCTAATGCCCTAGCCCTACAGTCCCTAGACCCTAGCCCTACTATACGTATTTATATATACTTATATAGATAGGTGCAGGATATCTGCCAACTGAGACCTATGATGGCAGACGGAATGTGGGTAGGAATGGGGTATGGTGGTGATGGTTTTCTCACTGCCTGTCGAGCAGACTCACACGACAGATCGGTTGATGGCTAAAGGTGTCTTGGCCACAGTGAGAGGTGGAGGAAGGGTAGTGAGTCAAAGTCGGAATCAACTTAATGACTCCTTTATTGCTTAATCTACATGATCTTATATACTAAACTTATCCTATGTACACACATACCACATTATGATTGTGTGCTATGCGTGTAATGTACCATCTCAGTGCTATATACCTTACGTGATTACGTGATGTTTTATTAGTTTTATATATTTAATAAGTAATATGTTTTCCTTATTTTAATCACGTAGGATTATCTCGCTGAAATGGCACGTTCATGTGTGAACAAGCTTTCATTCATTTCTTTGTTAAATATTAAGGCACTTAATTCCCACGTTATTTGTAAATACTATTGGATCTTATCTATTTTGGGTTTCTTTTGTTCACGTACGTCTTAAATTATCAGTCTTTGTTTCATGTAGACTACCTGGACGGCATTCACGAAACAAAATTTGTTGTTATGTATTTAAAAATAACATGGACTTATACCTATTAATCGTGACAACGGACAAATAATGGGTTAGTTTTACGTGATTCAAAAGAGTATAACATAAAATTCGGCCACCTTCGGTTACAAAGCTGGCACTGAAAATAACGTGGTTAAATCATACAAAGATTTGAAACAATACTATGGCTGACAATTAGGATATCTTCACTTTCATATTTAATGCGAAATATCACGAGATACGATTGAGCACGATGCACAGACAACTTATCTAACGACTTTATCTCGGAGAGATAACTGCTGTTCTTGAACATTTCGTAACACTTAGTGATGTGGACTGTAGCTGGGTAATATACATTCAGAACACGACTCCGGTGGATTTGGGGTGGAAATACTATATTGATCGCTTTGCCAGACAGTTTCTGAGCATTCATTTTCCTATCTATCCAAATATAATATATACATATTTAGATGTGTTCGCCTCAGCCAAACACAACAAGTGAATAAAATACCGTACACATTTGTAAAGCGCAGTACTAGGTATTCGAACATTCTGATCAATTTGCAATATCCTGAAACTATTTAAAAGAAATCGAGGCTTATTCTGCAGACTAATTGTAATAAAAATTCACTTGATGACCGTGTCAAATGGCTCACAAACGCAGACAATGTTTCAAGGGTAGATTAATTCTAGTAGCTGTTGCTATCTGGAAGTATGGGACAGCATAGACAATAAAATTGTGAGGAATCATTCCCTTTAGATTAAAATATTACCTACTTATAGTCTTTCGAGCAGAATGTTTTAAATCTCCATAACCGCTTTAGACGCGGAATGCCGGTAAATTATGTCCTCGTTCTTATACATTACGTAGTAGAGGTATGTCGAGGCAGAATGTGGGTTGATCCCACGGCTTCATCGTTCCGTGCTAAGCCGAGATACTGCAGACGTTCAGCCAACTCGAAATCGATTTCTAGCAGAGCGAGTCATTTTATTCAGTTCAAGGGCGTATTAGCCCTAAGAATTGTGTGATTGTTATGTACACGCTAAATTTTACGACTGCATTCCAGCATATCGTATGTCTGCACGACATGGTGGATTTATGGCTAACCCAAAAAGTTGTATTTTAATTGATGATAACATTATTACAGTATTACATCATTTCAAAAAAATGATAACTTGTAGCAGTCACAAAGGTAAATAATTATTATTATTACTACACTAAAACGATATGGCCATTTCAGAACATATACATATGTTACATAGTTATTTGAGTTTGCCTGGGTAAAATTAACATCGACCTTGCATGACCTCGAGCAGATAGACATATAACACTGCTGGAGCGGCTATAACCAGATATCACGGTAGATACCGTATCATGAATATTTGTTTTAAAACTGTTGTCAAGCCGATGGCTTTTCTTTTATAACTTGTTTAGTGTATGTGTGTGTATGTGTTAGCATTTGTATTTCTGTCATAGTGAGGCATAAATTTATAGGTAGCTTATAAAAGAAACTAAGAAATAATTAAAAATTTAATTTATTAAATAACCTTTAACTTACTGAGAATCCCATACACGCCGAGCCCTAATAACCTATATGTACAGTTCGGCCCGCTTACTCTATATGTACAGCACGTGCAGGACAGGCTTTCAATCAATCACAGGAATATTGTGTGGGTATGTCCCTTAAACCGGTGCACCGACTTCTTCCTGGTAGGATCTCGTGAGGTGAGCTGCGGCGGCGGTGAGCGAACGAAGGGAACGGCGCAGGCCACGCAGATGTCGCCGGCAGGCAGCGGCAGACCGCGCAGCCGACTCCCTCTCGTCCTCTCCCTCGATACCAGAATCGCCAGCAGCACTTGATGCATCACTTTCAGTGTCACTTAGGTCTGACACTCGCCTGCCCCGCTCAACTCGCCTTTCGTGCTCCTCTGAGTCACCACTCGACCAGAGCAGCTCAGTCTTCAAATCATTCAACATGGCGAACATGCTGAAAGGGTCATCATCACCCTCCTGGGGCAAGTTCATCAGACGGCTGGGCACAAGCACAGTTTCATCCATGACATTCACCATTTTAACAAATTTCTCCATGTCATTCAGTATACTCTGCTTTGAGAACTCAGTGTCATCGTGGCGGGCAATTTTGCGCAGGGTGTTCCTGTAACAATGGCAAAAATAACATTAGAAACTTATTCAACATAATATCAATGTTTTAACCAAGTTAGTGTCAGAGATAATAATTTCAACAGCAAACATTCTATTCATAACATTTAATTACATTCAAAACTGTTACTCGTCTTGACTCAATAAACTCTCCTTTATAGTAGTGTTAACAATTTATTACATAGTCTGTCTGCTCTGTGCAGTACTATTTGGTGAAAGTAACAGAAAGGAATAATAGTGTCTCAGTCTTTCAACACTTGTGATGGTCATAATTCAATATAATTTGTGCTACAAGTCACCAAAAGCCACTTTTCAAGTATGAATGGAATTATAGCAGTCTGCTCACTACTGTTTACATATTACATCACCAACATTCACTGATATGTGATATAATATGATTCAACTATTTTCTCACCATATTCAAAACTGGTCATTAAAAATAATGTTAAGGCTATCAAAGAGATTTCATTACCTGGCTTTTATATGAAATATGTTTTAAAAGTAGTTTTTTGTTGCTGACTAATAATTCTAACATTCTTCAGCTAATTACATGACACAGAATTGAATTGAATAAAAGAGGAAATAGACACAGCTACTAGGTATAGGTAACTGGGATTTCCATTTGGATGTAACATAGTATGAAGTTTGTTGAGTGTATCAAACTCAAATTCAAAACAGATTCATATGTATAGACAAGGTTAATAGTATAATCTGTATTCAAGACCACACTATTGAAATAGAATGTTAAAATCCGAAACAAGACTGTATGTGCCTATAAAAAAACCAGCTAAAGTTATGAAATTATGATAATTGCTGATTATTGTTTTACCAGATGGGTCAATCTTGAATAAAACATAAGACTAAAGAATTTAGCACGACCTGGACCTTGAATCGTAAGTACCTACATACCATAAATTATAGTTTACAAGTTACAAGATAAAATATTCATCAAATGTACTTCAACTACTAATAAAGACGCCTCGATGGCCAACAGATATGAAATGATAATTTCAATGAAGTCACTGCAACATTTTCTGAGTCACACTTCGCGCACGCCCAGAACATAGGATAACCACATCGATGAAAGTAGCGTCTATCCCATCTCGAAAATACCACACGGCACTATCGCTATACTTAATAGTGAATTCTGGAATTTGTTAAAATATGACTCGTCATCAATGTGAAAGGTGGTCAAAGTCAAAAGCGATTCATGTCAAAAATCTTTTCCGTACAATACACTGCCACGAATCATTTAAAAACGTAAGCGTCACTCAAATTCCAGAATGCATCACGGACACCTAAAAGAAACGAAAGGGCCACATGCAAGGGGAATGCAGTAACCAAGCCGTGCCCGTTGTTCGTAGTAATATAAAAAAAACACTTCTACATACCTGCTTTTCTCCAATTTGCTCGAGATATCGGTGTTGAAAGACATTTTCTCGTGTTATTTAACAATATTAAATATCACTGAACACACACGCCCCAATTTTTTATGATGTCACTACAAAATTGACGTTTACGCGGCTTGCGAAACAACGCGAACTGAATTCAACTGACGGACTCCGACAAGCACCCGCACGCAACGGAGAGGTTTGACGTTTTGGCAGAGGTGGGGAGCGCGCTCGTATTTATATGACACGATCATACGATGCGGGGCAAGCGAACTTTGAAATTATCAGTGTAGGTATTATGGAATAACTAACTAATGATAATGAATTTAATCGATGTTATTAAACACTACAAATGTAATAAACACTTCTCTTGTTTTGGCGTACAGTTAAAACCATGTTTCTGTTAAGAAAACAATATCTTCTACAATATTCTCTGAACGGCCGGGCGCGTCCCACAGAAGTCACACCACATACGGAGCCTGCGATTGGTTGGTTTGAACCCCAGTCTTTTTTTCATTGGTTTAACAGATTTGAGCAATGCGCGGTCTTTTTAAAATTTGGCTCGAAAGATGCTCATTCATAAATACGTTGTTTCACATAATATTGGATATATTTTATTTTTCTTTTTTTGTAGCTCTGTGTTGATCTTATCGAGATTTGGTTAGTTACAAAATATGCAGGATATGTTTCAATTAAACAAATGCCTAATTTAAAACAACATGGTTACAAACTACTGAATATACATAGCTACCTACTTTCTTTCAGTAAATAAGGTGAAAGGTCTGTAGAATATACTTACCTTATTGTATGTTAAGTGTTGAATTAATTGTCCCTATTTACTTACGTACATACAGGTACATAAAGGTATTCGTTCCTCATTAAAATTTGGAATATTAATGATATAAATAAGTAAATTCCAATTTAGTTTTGCATTAGCGGTGTTTACGTAATCTTAAATGAGCATGTGTAGGTTTTTTTGATTTTATGCTTTGGTTTCGTTCCCCTGGATATATAGATTTTTAATCTTTTGACGCAAGTTTTAAAGATTCCTTTTTAATAAAAAAAAAGTTTTAAACATTCATATGTATTCCGAAATCAAATTTAAAAAAAATCTACAAAAAAACTTCTCTGTCACCAAAGAGTATAAGGTTGGTATCACAGGTTGGTATCACCCTCAATGATTGAGGTGAATGTCCTTAGCTCCTACAAATAGTTCAAAGGACTATAAATTATTGGTGTGATACAAAGCTTCAAGAATTGAACTGCTGTCGTCCTAACTAAATATTAAACGTCAAACATTTGGCTCGTGCTATTATTGTCACACGAAAGATCTTGAAAGTGCATTGCAAACGTAACTAGGTAGGCATGCTGGCGCAAAGAATATATTTATAAAAGGCACGCGCCTATTACCTTCATTACAGGAGTTCCGATATTTAAACATGAATTTGGTGTTATTTTGATCAAATGCCATTTCAATTTATGATAAAGTTGGTACGACAGTGCAGTTTATTTCATTTTTCACTTAAAAAGAATCTTGAGGGCTAAGTTGTTTTGGTTATCATACTAAAAATGTGTTTTTTCCTTGCAATTTTCCTTGTATAACATTGGCGGATCAAGCTTACTTTTCTGTAGAAATACCATAGAGGTCATACAGGTTACAAGTAGGTACCTACGTACCTACGCACTTAACTGTAAGGTCGATTTTAGAATAATAGATGATTTATCTTAGGTCTTTCACCCGTTCGAAGCTGGTTTAATTCACAATATCGACATTAAATAGGTACTTAGGTACCTACCTATGTGAAAGTAATGAAATAAAAACGGTGGTGCCATAAAAACTATAATACTTTTAACATAATTTCATTCACTCATTCACTTCTCCTGTTGTACCTAGATAAATTGACAACGTTTTGACAGCTGACATCATTGTAATTCAAAGAAAGGAAGAGCTAATTTCTTGTAGGTAGTAAAGCCACTCATATTTTGATGCGTTACTCATAAAAATATTCGTCATTGTATCGTATCACCTTCTTGTGTAGTTTGTAGCATTACAATAGGACGTCGATGGTAAACGTATTTTTTAAGATTCCCGATAGGTATATTTATATTTAGGTAGTTTCTTGGACATGGCCGCAATAAAATTGTAGAATAAAAATATCACGAATTATTTCCCGGTATTATAATACAAATGAAAAAATTACAATAGGTATGTACTTATACGAATATTTTTATGATTGGTCATTTTTAAACATTTGAACGTCGAACGATGTGATAAGGCCATATCGTTTTCGGTGTAACATACATAATCAAGTTAAAAATTACTTAGGCAATAAATAAATGGCTGTATAAATAACAATAATTGTTTTTTTATGAATCAAACAGTTCTGTTGTTTAGGCTTATTAATGAAAAAATATCATAACATTAAGAATAAATTAGTCCACAGATCAAGATTACCAAAGTACGCTTGATATCAGTCAACTGTCATTTAAGCATTAAAAAGAGTATTCATTCAAAAAGGTTTTAGTAGGTAAGTAATTTTAATTTACAGTGTAATGGGTTATTATTAGTAAATTGGTATTAGTTACCTAATTAGGTATCTAATGCGAAGTAAAGCTAAGAATAATTAATTAGCTGAAGCACATCAGGTGCTTCAATTAAATTGACAATATTTTTTAATTTGTTTTACATTTTTTATGGTTGTTTCCATAGAGTTGCATTACGACGATAAATTGTAAAAAGTATCGAGGTGTTCGAGTACTTATTTCGTTACTGATATTATTGAAAAGACGCCAATAGGAATAATATCGGTATAACGTAGATACTTAATTAAGTAGGTAGGTAGAATTTGGTTTTAGTTGTAGGTAGGTTTTTCGTTCAGAAGAAATTTATTTGGTATTTAAATAATTTTATGTGTGTCAAATAAAAACTCAGCAAACTAATGTTTAGCTTACAAATAAGTACTATAATAGTGGTCGTTTTGTACACAATATCTATCAATAAATCGCAATTGTCATTGACCTACGGAACTCGTCTTTGTAATCATTCTTGATCGACATTAATCGGGTCGTTAGCCCTGCATTGTTATTTCAAAATATTAATATTAATGCTTACAAGTTTATTGACAACAAAAAACAAAGCGGAAAATAACGAAACGGCATTAATTTTCATGTCTCTGTCACTTCGAAAAATGAAAACAAAAACACGACATTGATTGTACGTCATTGAATGCGTTCAATCAAAATATTATTCGATTCCTACTTTTAGAGTTAAGTTTCATCAGATTATTGTTATTAGTGGTAGATTCTGTATAAGATGTTCATAACAAATGCGTCGTGATGCTAAAACCAGCGCTGTCCTGATTAGCAATAAAGTCTGGATTAGTGTGTAGACTGTTTGGCTAGCTACTGACGTTGTAGTTCTATTTATTATTTGCATCGATTACGCATCACGCGTGCGATAAGTGACACTGTGATGTTCATAGGAAAATGTGATCAATGTTGTCTGAAAACACATTTCCATCTGACGTATGAAGAAACGGCAATCCCAAGTCTATTTTCGCAACATCACGTGTCTAAAAACATTATGCCTATCAAAGGCGTCTGTTTTGATATCAGCGATATTTTATTTAAAAATGCCGGTAAAAAAACGTCTAAATTAATTTTGTTTACGAAAGTAAGTTTTTTCTATTTCCATGTTTAAACATAGCTTTTATGTTTAAGGAGTTTACCTACATAGGAAATACATATGCAAATGCACACCTATGTACGCGAACAAAGAATTCACCAAGTTTTGTTCTCAATAGTTCTATCTATTTCCTTGTTAGGTTTCCATGTTATTTACAAAATTAGGAGTTTAGGCATCCATGTCCCGACTACATCTACATCCAACTGACACAATTATGTCCCCAGATACAAGAAAATTCTTACGCAAAAAAATATTTGTGTTGCTCAAAGCGAGGGGGCTTGCTGTTGTCAAGTCAACATGTTATTAGTTCGTTGGGGGTCAGTTTACCCAGGTTATCAGTGTGTAATATCACGCCAAGCTCGCGTGGCCGACACACCCACATTATAATGCGTCATACGAACGCTACCACAAGATAAGTAAACATTGCTTGCAAATGATGATATAATTTGCAGAGACTAATGTTTCGTCTATCGACCTTTTTCCATGTCAGATCTACTAAGGTTTTTCTTGCTAACAATGTACGCGCGATATTGAGTACTTCATTAGCTATTTACTCCATGTATTTCTCCGTTGTACGTCAATAAATGCACTTGTAGATATCATACGCAGATTCTATTTGCATAATTACACGGGTCAGCGTTGTGAGATGATCTCGTTTAGTGAGCTGAATGGAACAGATATATTTAGAAAGCCATGCGTAAAGATTATTGTGAGATACAAAATGTATTATCATTTACTTTCTACGTGTGCTGTTGCTCTCATGTATTGTTTGTAAATAATGAGATTAGCAATAGGTAGGACAGATCCAGAAGCGAGACAGAGAAGTATGGCATATGAGTGTAATGGACAGGTGTATAAGGGCTTATGACTTATCTGGTTTTTTCGTAAAGAAACTCTAAAACGTTTTAGAATTTCAATGAAATGAACTTTCGGGTCCCGGTTTCTTCCACAGGAATATAATGTACCTATTTTCTTTACCAAATGTACCACTTCAATTAGTTTTAGAACACCTCGTGGTGATTAGAACAGGACTTATTCGTGTCATTTTGCCATGCTACATTTTAGCTATCTACCTACTTAAATCAGGTAACGCCATACTCCGTAGTAAATGACGGGCTTAAGGATCAACAATAACAATCACACACGTGGCATTTTCGAAGAAATGTCTCCATTTAATATTATTTGACTCCGGTTTACGAAAACAAAGAGATTAGAACAATCGAATTCTGCTTTCATGTGTTATTATTATTATTATCAGTTTACATATCTTCTTATCAGTAAAAGAGGAGTTTATTGTTTCTGTGTTCATTTATTTTTAGACAATGGTTTTGCTAAAAGCTTTGTTTGATTACCTTGAAAAGGTTTAGAAAATGTGGTGTATTTACTTATTTGTATTTGGGTTACTTTTCGCATAGATTGACTCGATGTAGGTACCGTAACAAGGATTGTCTATGGCGTATTTTGAAGATGTGAAGCCATCCCGAAACAGGAGAATTAGATGTCTTGGTGTTTTTATAGGTAAATAC